AAAACCATCATTTCTAATTCAAATTGTTTTCAGCAACTTTCTTTCCACTTTCTTCCTTTCTCTGTCCACCACTCCCACCAAGCACACACACATCCTGGGCTAGAAGAAACAATGACTATGTCACAACTAACAAGCAAACATCTAAAAGGGACATTTGTATAAAGTCGCAAGGGGTTGCCATACGTACTTCTGTATCTGCCACTGCTAACACATGTACACAAGTTGGGGATTACTTTATAACATGAGATAAATACCTTGTATGAAAGCATAAAATAGTAGCCTCTGTAATAAGAGCCTTCTGGAGAAATCTGGTCTTTGTACACATGGATTTTTGAGGAAGTTTTTCTCATAAGTTGTACAGGGATTCTCAGTATGTGCATTGATCATATGTATTTATCTTAAGGTTTAAGATATTACAGAGGACTTGGCATCATTCTATATAATTATAGTCTATTATACATTACATGATATTCTATTATATACATAATACTTGGCCTTAGGGAAGGAATGTTAAGTTAAAATGAAATTTTCTTGTAATCAAGTTTTTTTAGTAGAGAAGTGCTTCTAGGTTCAGGGCAGCAATTCTCTTTAATATGTTATCAGAACTCTTTAGTACAATCTGTGCTGCACAACTGTGGTTAAGAGCACGAGCTCTGGGGTCAAAGTGCTGGGTACAAATGCTAGCGCCATCTTGGGCACTTCTGCATAAGGCAGTGAAGCTTCTGTTCTTAAATTTGCGTTCTATCACCTCTGGGCAACAGGGAGAAAGACCATGCATGTCTCATAGTGGGGTTGTGAGGATTTAATGAGATAGCCACACAAAGTGCTTAGTATAAAGGGTGGCACACGGTGTCCTACAATTATTATGTAAAACTTATTATTAAAATACTGATACAATAAATCATCATTTTTGATAGCAAGTAAATTGTTACTTAAACAGTTATAAGTTACAGTTATATTATATAAGTAATCCTCTTGCTTCTTGATTTTTCCTATACCTTTTTCTATTTTTATCTTCCTTTGAATAAAAGGGAACAGTGAATGAGTGGTGGTGATGAGCAGAAAAGGGAACATGAATATAATACTGTATACAGAGTTACAGTGGTTTCCAACAATGAAATACTGTATCTGGGTTTCTCATGACTTTGTAGGAATTGATTGTTTTAAAATATGCTTCAATTGCCAAAATTCCCATGACTTATGACGGGCTGAATATTTGATATTTTCTTCCAGAAGACAAATGTAAGTCTCTTTCTTTGTTTCTTCTTCTTCTTCTTCTTTTTCTAAAGTGCTATAGTATCACTATCCTAGTCACGACACTAGAAACTTACTTTAAGAGATATGACTTTTTAATATTTGAGTTTTTAAAGGCATCTGGCCCTTATTTAACCATCACATTTACATCCAATTTCTGCAGGCATGGTTTTGCTGTTTAAGCTTGGCTTGATGCCCTCTGCAGAGAGCCTTTGCTTTAATGAACATGACCCCACTGAAACTGCTGGAGTCCCCTGGTCTGCCCCCCTTCCCTGCCCCCAACCAACTGTACAAGAAGAGCACAGAAAGTTTCACCTTGCATTTCAAATAAGAAGATAAAAGTAAGAAAGTAAATCGAGGGAGAATCAGCTTTATGTGGCTGCCACTGCTATGACATATTCAACTTGATGCCCTTATATTATTTGCAGAAGTGTTTATGTACTATGAAATGTTCAGCCAGAGCGTACAGGAGACTATAAAATATTTTATGAGATGTATACATGGTTGATGGTAGAATTTTAAATGCAACTTGGGAAGGTTCTATCTAAATTCCAGGAGGGCAGATGAGGAAATACTTTCTCTGTAGTGACTCAGTTTTACATAAGGGGTTATATGAACTGGAAAGAAATACCTGATTTGGGAACTATACAAAATTTTTTTCATAAAATTAAATTTTATAATTTATAGGCAAGTAAAATTGTTTTCTTTCAGACCAAGAATCACAAGTTATGTTTATTTGTCTTCTACGTGGTAAAAGCATTAAACGTGGATTGTTTATTATTTTATAGGAACAAAGAACATGCAGTAATAAATGAAGAATCCTCCCCGGATACAGGAAGTATATACACCATTAAAAAATATCTGTGCTTCTGATGGTTTTTAAATAACAACTCTTGGTTCTAAAACTGGAACATTATTTTTGAATCTCAACTATTGCAATATGTGAAGGCAGAAGGTTAATGACATATCCTCAAAATGGCATGTTTAGAAAGTTGCACTTCCAAATTCAGGTGAAGGGAGAAATATATTTCTGTTTCCTTTATCCTCAAGTCTATAAGGCAGTGCCAATTTCCCATAAGAGAAGTTATTTATTTACTTATTTATTTTCAAATTCCATCTCCCAAACATAGGCCTACGGAAATAGAAACTATTTTGTGCATTCACATTTGACTTACAATTAAGCCTGACTTTTTATTTTTGTTTTGTTTATTTATTTAAAATTTTAATTTTATATTGAAGTATAGTTGATTTACAATGTTGTGTTAGTTTCAGGTGTACAGCAAAGTGATTTAGTTATACCTACACATATACCTATTCTCTTTCAGATTCTTTTCCCATATAGGTTATCACAGAGTATTGGGTAGAGTTCCCTGTGCTATGCAGTAGGTCCTTGTTGATTTTATATACAGTAATGTGTGTATGTTAATCCCATCCTCCTAATTTACCACCCCTCCCCCACCTTTCCCCTTTGGTAACCATAAGTTTGTTTTCTAAGCCTGCGAGTCTGTTCTGTTTTGTAAATAAGTTCATTTGTATCATTTTTTAGATTCCACATATAGGTGATATCATATAATATTGGTCTTTGACTTCACTTAGTGTGATAATCTCTAGGTCCATCCACGTTGCCTCAAATGGCATTATTTCATTGTTTTTTATGGCTGAGTAATATTCCATATATTTTTATGCGGTATATAAGTACCACATCTTCTTTATCCATTCATGTATCGATGGACATTTAGGATGCTTCCATGTCTTGGCTATTATAAATAGTGCTGCAATGAACACTGGGGTTGCATGTATCTTTCTGAAGTATGGTTTTCTCCAGATATATGCCCTGGAGTGGGATTGCTGGATCATATGATAGCTCTACTTTTAATTTTTAAAATTTTTTTGATTTTTTTCAATTTTTGGCTGTGCTGTGCAGCTGGTGGGATCTTAGCTCCCCGACCAAGGATCAAAACTGCGCCCCCTGCATTGGCAGTGCGGAGTCTTAATCACTGGACCTCCAGGGATGTCCCTACTTTTAGTTTTTTAAGGAACCTCCATACTGTTCTCCATAGTGGTTGTACCAATTTACATTCCCACCAACAATGTAGGAGGGTTCCCTTTTCTCCATACCCCCTCTAGCATTTATTGTTCATAGACTTTTTGATGATGGCCATCCTGACCGGTGTGAGGTGATTGTAGTTTTGATTTGCATTTCTCTAACAATTATTGATGTTGAGCATCTTTTCACTTGCTTTTTGGCCATCTGTATGTCTTCTTTGGAGAAATGTCTATTTAGATCTTCTGTCCATTTTTTGATTAGGTTATTTGGGTTTTTTTTTTTATATTGAGCTGCAAGAGCTGTTTGTATATTTTGGAGATTAATCCCTTGTCAGTTGCTTTGTTTGCAAACATCTTCTCCCATTCTGTGGGTGGTATTTCTGTTTTGTTTATGGTTTCCTTTGCTGTGCAAAAGCTTTTAAGTTTAGTTAGGTCCCATTTGTTTATTTTTGTTTTTATTTTCATTTGCTAGCATCAACATCACGAAGTCATTGGGAAGATAAATGAACTACCAAAGGTAAGGTTCCTGACACAAAGTAGGTGCTCAAAGTATGTTAATTCCTCTCTCCCCTGCTTACAGACCTCTTTTTTAAAATTGATGTATAACTGGCATATAACACATTATTTAATTAACATCACAGTCCCTCTGAAGAAGATTTTAATATAACGCTTATGCTTCAGGATGTGTCCATAATTAGAATCATTTAAAAAATAAATCTAGGTTATTGTCTAAGATAAACATGCCATAAAACCCTGACGTGTCTTGGTAGTATCTAATGCAAACCCAGTATGGTGGAGTATAAGACTAGACAGACTGATAATTAGGGACCATGGTCTGGTCTCTGGTCTGTCATAGCATTGCTGAGTGACGTTGGTAAAGTCAGTTTCCCTCTCCAGGCCATCATTTTCCATCTGTAAAATGAGTGGTTGTTTCCAATGATCTTTTTTTTTTTTGTTTCCAATGATCTTTAAGACCATCTTCCACTCTGACAGTTTATGATTCTACATAACAATTTAATCTTTAAAGAAATTTATTTAAGTCACATTTTCTGAAACTTTCCCTTTATAAATTTTTTTTCTCCCTATACTCACTGCTTAAGGAAATTTTATTTCACTTCAAATTTAGTGTTGTGGAAAGAGTCAGAAAAAGAACCTAAGTGTAGAAAAGAAAAAAAAAAAAGAATTACAAATATTAATATTGAGCCATTACGGGGACATCTAGGCTGGTTCGGGACAGACATAAATGACCTTGTTTTATTCTAAATTCAGCTCACTGGCTTATGATGAAAAGTGAAAGGTTATTATATGGACTTACTGGGCAAAACCAGATTTTATAAATAATTACCTGTCAGACTGTTCAAGATAGACAAACATACGCCAGACCAACAAAAACACAGACCTGTCATATTTCTGAGAGAAATGTACGTTGAGTCTTCCTTCTCTGGGACTATAAGGAGATCAGGTAGAATAAAATGAAGGGAAAAAAATCTAAACCCTATATTTTCTGCCTTGTGCATACTTTAAAATGTATAATGTGGGAGAAGAGGAATTTCGATGTGAAAAATCAGCTCCTGAAAATTTTACACATCTATAAGCCTGGCATAGAAACCAAATACAATAAATGCTGTCGTTTTACAAGTTAGGATGTTTACTGCAAGCTTGTAATTTTCCATGATTAGGGATGCCAAGAAAAATAAGAATGATGATAAAAAGAAAAGTTCAATCATACATTTCACCAAGCGCAGATGGAACATCAAAACCCTTTGGCAATTTTTTGATATTATATATCTGCGTTTTTTTGTTCTTGACATGAAGATTTTTTCCAGAAGGACTAACACAGAACAGGTAAGTGATAGTTAACAAATGTGAGTAATATGGCACAATCACGCTAACTGAGCCTCACTACGATTTGGTCACAGGAGGAAAACCTTGCATGCTTCTCATTTCTGTTTTTATTAATTCTTTACAAAGGCTATCTCAGTGTGTGTAGAAACCATGATAAAAGTAAAATTATACAAAACTCCTAAAGAATTAAAGAAACAACTTCCTCCTTTGCAATTCAAGTTCAATCAAGAACTGTATATAACTGCTATATTTTGGTTCGCTTCGTTACAGTTCCTCGTTTACTGGAGAAAGTACAGATGCCAGAGGGATAACTCAGCTGCTACCAGCAAGAAACTGCCCAGCCCACATTTCAGTCTAGGTGTTAGTGCTTTGGAGGGAGAAAGCAGATCACTTGGCTCCCCATCCATTGATTCTAACCGCTTTGCTTCTAAATGGGTACAGCGTGTGTGTGAGGGCTGGGCCTGGGGATCGGAGGGACAGGGGAAGGAGGAAAATGAAGATGGGGAAGAGGGCCTATGAGGGGAAAAACACACGATAGGTAGATACTCAGGAAGTTGGGAAGAGGCCATGAAAATGACACATATACTACACGTGGGGTGAAGGGAAGAGAAGATGGGAACAGACAGTTCATCAGGCCAATTAGGTCTTTGATTAGTGTGAGTTTATAAGATGGACATTTGTCTGTAAAATACATGTAGATCTAGACATCAAATGTCAGAAGGTAGAGTTGGTGGGACAGTCCAAGGGGAAAACTGACTGTTCTTTTAATTTTGTTTCCTTTGTCCTAAACCTGGATTACAAAATGCATCAAATAAAACATAGACTAAACACTGAGAAAAAAAAAGTCACTGCTTTTAAGTTATGTGAGCTGAGAGCAGTAAATCTATTCCAAATTAAAATCTCAAAACTGTGTGATGTGCATTCTTGTCCACCTACACACCATCCCAAACATCCTGCCATTAATTGGCTAAATGGCCCATCTAGTAAACAAGACTAAGCGTTGAGGGGGCTGGAAAAGGGCTGGAGTCAGCCAGTTGATAGTCACAACAAACCAACCCACTCCCAAGGATGCGGAGAAGGTAAACTTGTCTTTTATTTTGCCCAAGGAGGGGAACAGAAATCACCTTAATATAACACTGCCTTTCCTGTTGTCTCAGTCACAGTCACATCAGCAGGCCAGAAAAGCCATCCCATTCCTGCGGTAGGCACTCTGTCAAAGAAAAAGAAATCTGCAGTGAATTATCACATGAAGTCAAACCAGGAAAGGAAGCAAAAGAGCAAACAGAACTTTCTTCCTGTTTTGTAGTCTCTGCTGGCTGCAATCTAATAGGGTGCTTAATCTGAACATTTCTGGTGGCAAAGCTCTAGCAGCCACTTTGTTAAAAAGTCAGTGTGGTTAACAAGTGGTTAGTGATTCTATTTTGGGGGAGTGGGAGATACCTAAAATAAGACATCCCATTTTGTTAATTGATTGGGCTTGGTTAGGCCAGAGACATGTTGTGTTGAATCTGTTCGTCCTTTATAAACATGTGCTCTCTATTGGACATGCCCAAGAATCACTTCTAACTAAGTCTCTTAATAGTCTGTAAATTACTGACTCATTATATCCTTCCCAGGCCTAATTTACAGTCTCAGCGAAAAGCTATGGGAACAGATACTAACAGAGCCCCCCCCCCCCAAATATGGTGATCTCTAAGCAGTTCTGTACATTACAGACATTACAGAAAACCTGAATCTTACATAATTTTATATACATTCATGTACATATAGATGTATAAATGGATATTCATGATGGGCTAAAAATACTCCCATAAAAGAAAAATGGGAAAATAGATACTAATTGCAATAATGCAAAATATTCCAGTAAAGAAAGTAAAATGGTGTGATTTCTCACCCCAAGAGATATATTCTGCATTTCAGAGTCGGAAGAGTTGGGCCATACAGGGCCTCTGTGACTCGTCCTGATTCTCACAATGAGACCCAGAGTGAAGCAGAATTAAAATCTGGGATTTAGGAATAAAACACCCCTTTTCACCACCATAGTTTTCATTATTTAAACTAGGAACAGCAACGTTCAGAGAATTCATAACCCTCAATTAAATGGAATTTTTCTATAATCTGTTTTCAGAAAAATGGAAAAAATGACAAAATCTCATATCAGGGATCTTTTTTTCCTTTAAGCTAGTAACTCTGGGCTGTTCTGGAGTCTGTAAACTTTCGGTCCAATAAATTTACCTTCAGTAGCCATATTATAGGAAATACAGAATAAGCTTTTATGGTTAAGATAATGTTATGAAGGTGCTGAGAGTTTTATTCTAAAAACATGATTATTTTTAATTATACAAAAAAAAAAAAAAAAAAAAAGGAAAGTGGACCCAAGCTTTTTAGAAAGACTTCTACCACTATGAGGTGAAACAAAAATGGTTTTCCAGATAACTTTCTGTTAATCATAAAATTCAATTAACTTCAAAACCCTTCCCTTCAAATCTCCTGCTTACACAGGATTTACTATGGTTGTCAGGCTTTGGCGCCCTGGCTGAAATTTCATCGGTGGGTTATGCTGTTACACAGTTCACTCCAGATCAGCATAGCAAGGATGAGAAAACAGTGGCAGATTCCAAGTTTCCTTTCTCAGGGATCTCTGGGAGCTCCACCTCACCATTGGACTCTTTGTGCCACAGGGCACTTTCAGATTGAAGCAAACATTCTAACAAAGGCTAGAAAATTCCAGCTCTAGCTCCTAAGATCGTGCACCGGAGAACAGTGGTTAAGTGAGCTCCTTGGAGAGCCACAAATAAGTTGCAGGAACGGATAAGGTGTCTTCCCACAACTACAGGCAGGGGAGCCTCAGGCCTTGAAACAGCCCCTTCCACCACAGCCGCCTTCGAGAGGCTCACGCCAAAGTAATACTTTCAGCTTCTTAACCTTGATATTTTACAGTTTACAACCACAGTGACAACCTTTAACATAACATAATATTGAAAGCACAGGGATGGTTTACATGGAGATAAATGGACCTAGGAATAAAGCTGGGTTCCTCTTAAAGGTAAATGGCTGAGGTGAGCCTTCCTTGAAACAGCAGTCTTGGCTCGGAAGAAGACTGAGTCCTGGCTGAACTCACCTGAGAAATTACCACATTAAATCTTTCCAGGGTGGGCGATATGAAATGGTTTGCTCCAGTATTGAAAAGGTCACTTTTCAAAAATCTAGTCACCTTCACAGATAACTGATTACCATTGTTTGCAAACAAGTAAAAGATGACGGGCTTATTTAATAACATAGACACTCAAGTAGCCAAGTTTAATGAGAAAACCAAAGTTTAGAGCTGACCCAGATTTCTGGAATAAGTTCTTCTAATTCTAAAGTAAAGAAGAAACAAACGAGCATGTGTAATTAGTGAAGAGCAATTTCAGCAAACCAATCCCCTAGGGTCCTCCACCCTGAGTCACTGCTTTTTCCTTTTTATGTATAAAGGATGTATGTTGTCTGTCTGTGTAGGGTAATTATGGGAATGTCCCAAATTTGGCATCCCTTCCAGAGTAAGCAACTTGAAAGGAAGATGGATGAAGACAACTCATCTTTGTGTCAACTGTGAATTTCTATTTGTGTTGCGAATGCTGAAACTAAATTTAAACATTGCTTGGTGTGAGGGCCTTCCAGAGGCCACGTTCTCATGAAACATTCTGTATTCAACTCACTCTCTACTGTCAGAGCCTATGAACGATTCACAGACACCCCTAGTTAGTAAAACCCAGACCTTGACCAGCAAAAGCCAGGACCTCTCCAACTACTGAAAAGTATAAATTAATCAATAACACAGACCTCGCCCCCCCCAAACCAGCTCTTACTGCTATATACCACTTAAGCTTTACTTCTTACTTAATAGAGCTCTGTTCTCAACTACTGTTGGCTCCTATGTAAATGCACTGAACAGCTCAGATATTTTAGCATCTCCCAAAGTTACCAGCAAAGATGATATATATATATATATATTTTAAAGGGCCAACTGTAGTTCTTAGGCTTTTTTTTTTAATTGAGTATCAAGCTAGCTCCCCATTTTTGACATTCTTTTATTCATTCAGTTCAAAATTATGACCTTTTACTGGAATCTCAATCTACCTGGATAAACAGACATAGATTCTACTTGCTGCACTGGGCACTGGTGGGGAAATTAACTACTTAAGGGTGTACTCTAAAAATATGGCTTAAAAAAAATCATATGGACAATGAATAAGCTAGAGAAAACATTTAAATCCCAAACTGGTTTACTTCTGCTTTTTTATGGTGCATCATAAATTACACATTTTAAGGAATGCAAATTAATATTAAAAAGCAAAAGGTTAATATTTATCTTAAGCAAAAGAAGATAAATATGCTATAAAACATATCCTGCAGTTTGAATATAATTATATACGTGTGTTATTTATGCCATTAGCCTAATTAGTAAGGCTTTAATTATAGATAAAACCACGCCCCTCAGTTCAGACCTGTATTTTATTCTTACTACCACATTTCCTGATTAATTTTGGCATCACTGAGGCTGAGCTGTTAGGACCAGAGTGAGGACTTTGACCCACCATCCCCAGGATGTGCTGTTGCTGCACCCTGAGCTCAAGCCACTACTGTACCCTGTCACCCCCCAGCTTGTGCCACTGCTGTTCTCCCCACCCTGGGGCCCAAATCACTGTGGTAAGCCCCAAGAACTCAGACCCTGGGTCCTTGGAAGATATGCACATGCCTGCACCTCAGACACTGGCACTACCATCACTGCAAGTGCACCTGTGCCCCAGGACCAAGGTAGTTCCACACGTGCCTGATCCTAGAACCCCGGCTCCACTGCCACTGAGTGCCAGCTCACTAAACCTTGTACCAAAATGGATCCCCCTGGCTAGAACTTCCTTTCACAGGCAAAAAAGAAAGACCCCAGCAGCAGCCTCTGCCACTGGGGACCCCAACAGCCCTAGGTATCACTGCCACTTGCAGGACCTCTGCAGTCTGGGCCCCTGCAGTCTTGGCCCAAGTTGACCTCAGTTGATGGAGCTGCACAGAGATTATGCCACTGTGCTTTCCCCAGAATCAGAGCTGCTGAACCCCACCCTGCCAGAGCCCTCACAGACACCTTCAGGTGAAAGTCTTTCCCCTCCAGAGTCAGTCTGAAAGGGCTGGAAGAGTTGACTGCTCCCTCAAATGTGCAAAGCTACTGGAAACGTGGAAAAGCAAGGAAACATATCACCACCAAAGGAACTCAATAATTTTTCAGTAACTAACCATAAAGAAATGGATATCTGTGAGTTACCTGATAAAGAATTCAAAATAATTATTTTAAGAAAGCACAGTGAGATTAAGAGAACTGACAGACAACTCAATGAACTCAAGAAAACAATGCATGAACAAAATGAGGAATTCAGCAAAGAGACAGAAGTCATAAAAAAGAACTAAACAAAAATTTTGGAACTAAAATGCAAGAGAGAGCTTCAAAAACAGAATGAAGCAGAAGAAAGAATGTGCAAACTTGAAGACAGATTTCTTGATATTATCCATTAAGAGGAGAAAAGAAATAAGAATGAAAAAAGGGTGAAAAAAGTCTGTGTAAAATTAGGGGACACCATTAAGTGAAATAATGCAGTCAGCCCTCTGTATCTACTGATTCCACACCTGCAGATTCAACTAACCAAAAATACTTGGAAAAAAAATTCCAGAAAGTTCCAAAAAGCAAAACTTGAATTTGCTGTGAGCTGGCAACTATTTACATAGCATTTACATTGTATTTACAACTATTTGCATAGCATTTACATTGATTTAGTTATTATATGTAAACTAGAGATGATTTAAAATATATATGGGAGGATTTACAGAGGTCACATGCAAAAACTATGTCATTTTATATAAGAGACTTGAACATCTGCAAATTTTGGTATCCATCGCGGGTCCTGGAACTAATCCCCCACAGATACTGAGGGTTGACTGTATTTGATTTATGGGAGTCCTAGAAGTAGAAGAGAGAGAAAGGGTCAGAAAACTCATGTGAAGAAATAAGTTCTGATATCTGGGGAGAGATATGACCATCCAGAAACATGAAGCTCAGGAATTCCCATATAGATTTAGCCCAAAGAGCTATTCACTGAGACATATTATAGTCAAACTCTTAAAAATCACTGACAAAAAGAGAATTCTGAAAGCAGCAAGAGTTTAAAAAGAGTCATCACATAC